GTTTGGAATTGTAATGACCCAGCCTGTGTTGTTTATTTACCCCCACCCAAAAACAGTGATGGCTACTGCCTGCTGCTGTCATTTTTCAAACCATATCAGCTGGATGTACATGACACTTTTTTTTCCTCCTTTGATTCAGTGGGCTGATCTTTTTCTTTGTGAAAGCGGATGTAGAGCTACTTCACAGTTCAGAAACAATTCCATTACTGATTGACAGAGTGAGTGTGTCACTGACTTATTTTTATCAGCTTGTCGAAGTAGGTTGATTTCAGAAAATACTTTCTTTTTATTTTCTTCCTATTCACTCAAGGCAAATACTACTTTCTTTCTTAGAGCCTGTCATCACTTTATCATGTATTTTGTGTGGTGTACATACAAATTGGGTCGATGTTTCTCTTTGCAGAGAACAAATTCAGGAAGCGATGGACAAAATTCCTCTGAATCCTGGATAGACACCATTGGACCAAAGAGCAAACGATTCATGTGAGCTCATCTCATTAGGAGCCCCTCAGATGTGTGCATTATTACTATTAGCATTTTTCATTGCTGACAAAGAACAGCTACAGCAGCCACTCTGTCATGGAATTTAAATCATAGATGAATGAATACAATTTTACACTTTTTAATTATTAAAAAAGTAATAAAAAGTAAAACAATTCATTTACATTGCATCTTTTAAATGAAGGTCTTAGTTATTTGTTTAGAAGCTGCCTGCCAGTGTGGTTTTTAGGTGTAACAAGTTTTAAGTCATGACTAAAAACCGTTTCACACATGACAACCTTGCTCTTACTGTGAGTTTTTGTTTTAGCAGCAGAAAAAAACTTAAAATGTGAGCACCAGGCTGTAAATGTAGCAGTCACAGTCGATATTCAATAAATGTAAAAAAAACAGAGTGCAAAAATAACATCACTTTTGTGCTGTGTGTTTTCCTGCATACCCATTTACCCATGCACTGTCAGTTTTTATCGGCTCTTTGCAATATCTTGGAATTAACCATAGAAATTGAATGATGTATCAGTGGAGATTTAAAACGCATTCTTCATCCAGTTCCTCAATGTATTCTGCCTCCTTTTCACCAGTGGTTTTCTCCTTGCTGTTGTGGCGGGCCTCATGTATGCTTTCTCCATCATACCGGTCCTGTACATTAAGAGCAATTCTGTGCAGCATGACAGCATGTTCTATGAATCCAGTGTCTACGGTATGTTTTCTGTGTTGGATACCGCTTTATGCTGCACTTTTTCTCTTTTCTTTTTTTTTTGCAAAGCTGGCTTGAAGGAAGTATTGAAGAAAATACATTTATCATAGATCTAAGGATGGATCCAGTTGCTGCTTAATGAAATACTAGTCCCTCCTGAGAACCAGGTGTAAAATTTCCAATTTAATTCCCGTTTCTATCTTTTCACAGATCTCGACTATGTTCATGCACACTGCTGTGGTATTTTCATTGCAAGCACTGTGTACTTTGCCATCTACTGCGCTGCCATGAATACAAAGCCGAAGCTTTACTCCAGAGCTGTACTTCCAGGTAGAACATTATTTCTGAAAAGGCACTCTTCCAAAGCCTATTGTATGACC